AATCCCATTCCGGCCCTCGGATCAAAAACTCACTATCGGACCGGAAACTTCAAAAATTCAAACTTCGGCATTTCAAGCCTAAATTAGCTAGGAACCTCCAAAATACATTCCAAACACGCACCCAACTCTAAAATCACCTAACGGAGCTAACGGAACCGTCGGATTTCCATTCCGAGCCCGTCTTCACATAGTTCTGACTACGGACGACTTTTCAACACTTAAGCTCTCATTTAGGGACTAAGTGCTCCAAAATTCTCCGAAACTCAACACCGAACGTCCCAGCAAATCAAAATAGCAGAAATGAACTTAGAGGAAGCAATTAATAGGGGATCGGGGCGTGAATTTTAAAAACGACCGGTCGGGTCGTTACACGCCCCTTTAAGTTGTCCTCAACGATCACGTAAACACCTCAACTGAGCTCATTTTCAGTTGGACACTTCAAGCTTTCAATAAAGTAGGTCATTTGAACACCTGACCTTATCAGCCCACCTTGCGTGAAATACACCTTCGGATTCATGTCAAACGAACAAATGAGAAAATGTCATGTGTAATTTTAACTAAAAAATTTGCCACCTATTATAAAACAAAAAAAAAGCAATAATAATAATTTAAAAAAGAAAGAAGAACAATAATCATGAAAAAAGCTCCTTTAATCACCATCTCTATAGAATCACCGCCGGCCCTTCCTCCTCGTCTCCAATTTTCTTTAGTAGTTATTTCCTCTTTTTCTCCTTAATCACCATTTTCAATTCCATACCTCCTCTTCTGATTTCTTTTTTTCCAGATTCCTTCCCCCTTATTTTCATTTCAGATTTCCTCCTCATCCTCCTTCAATTTAAATCCCCTGCCCTCACCCGCGTTAACCAACCCAATGTATTTCAAGCATCACCGCTATTTTTGCCACCTTGGGAGTAATGTGAGATTGTTTGGGAGCTATTGAAGGTGATTATGAGCTTGGAGAGGTTGAATTTGGTAGAAGTGGGTCTGAAAATATTTTGGTGGACCGTGAGATGTCGGGTTTACTGAGCATATTTGGCTTCTGAAATATTTATATTTTCCTTGATTTCAGAAGTAATTGAGCCTATTTTTCATGGAACAATCAACGTGGCAGTCACAGTTGTCGCGAATGAAGAACAAGAGAATAAGATTGATATGATATTACCATTGTTCTAACAAAGTATGATTTTTTAATAAAAAAAAAAGTGGACTTATTCTTCTTTAATGTAGTAGTCGGACTGGATTTGTGTTCTGGTGGTTGGGCTGCCCTTTTACTAGTGGATGGTGAGTTGTTTTGACCTTTTAAGATGGCTGGTTGATGGAGCAGTCGTATGGGGGTAGGGGCAAACTTTAGTTACTACTATTTTAAATTCATTCACGCGCTGAAATTGGATTGAGAAACACACAATATGACATGTCAGCATGAGGTGTTTAATTGACTTATTTTAGTGAAAGCTTGAAGTGCCCAACTGAAAATGGGCTTAGTTGAGGTGTTTGTGTGATCGTAGAGGACAACTTAAAGGGCCGTTTATGTATTTCGTTTTTTTTTTGGGATGAAAAAGAAGTACTTTTTGTTCAAAGTACATTTAGAACCAAAAAATTAAGAAAAGATCAAAGTCATCTATAGTGGGGTCCGACCAATGATCTTTTTTCAAATTACCAAATAGAGGTGTCTCAATCCAATCCAGTCAGCTCCTCTCTCTCTTTCTCTCCGCCGCTCGGTCCACGCTGTATTCTCATGCCCTCAATTCGTAACTTCGCTACTTCCCTCTTCAATTTGGCAGGGCTACTCAATCAGTACAACCGTGACTCTCTCCCAAAAACTAACCATCTAATCCTCCGCTGTACAGCAACATCGACACTCCGACCAGTTTTGAGGACATGGAAGCTTCGTCCTCATCCTCCGATTCCGATGATGACTTTTTTGCTCCGTCTTCTTGGCCTTCTACTTCAGCTGCCTATACCTTATTGCCTTCCAATAAGAAAATGCGCCGATCCAGAACTGCTCCGGCTATGGTCTCTATGGAGGACCTCTTTAAATCACCCACTCAATCTGTCCACCAATTTGGGCCTACTTCTCTCGTCAGACAGGCCGCTTTTCTACTTATAATTTACCTCTCTCTTGGTGTCGTCGTTTATTCCTTTAACCGTGACCACTTCTCTGGAGTTGAGACCCATCCTGTTGTTGACGCCCTTTACTTTTGCATCGTCACTATGTGTACCATTGGCTACGGCGACATTGCTCCGATTACTCCCTTGACTAAAGTCTTTGCTTGTATATTTGTGCTTGTGGGATTTGGGTTCATTGACATTTTGCTGAGTGGGGTTGTCAATTACGTACTTGACTTGCAGGAGAACTTGCTATTGGCTGGCATTAAAGCACAAGGGCAACGGCAATTCGATCACGGGCATGGGCGTGGCGGCGGACTATCTGCCTATATCGTTGACGTAGCCAAAGGCAGAATGAGAATCAGAATGAAGGTGGGTTTGGCTCTGGGAGTTGTGCTTTTATGCATTGGTTTGGGGTCAATGGTGTTGTATTTCCAGGAGCATTTGGATTGGATCGATTCATTTTACTTATCAGTAATGTCTGTTACCACTGTGGGATATGGTGACAGGGCTTTCAAGACCCTGCCGGGAAGGTTGTTCGCGTCAATTTGGCTTTTATTCTCCACCCTCGCGGTGGCACGTGCTTTCTTGTATTTGGCAGAGGCCAGGATTGACAAGAGGCACAGGAGGATTGCCAACTGGGTATTGCAGCGCGAAATCACCATTGAAGATCTGCTTGCCGCGGACATTAACAATAATGGTTTCATTCGGTAAAGCATTTTTTTCAAAGCACAATATCTTATTAGTACAACTGCTGCCTTAACAGTAATCTGCCATATACTTTGTTACCTTTGAGTTCGTAAACTCATTATTGACATTTGTCTTCCTCCTGCAAGAATATAGGTAGGATTCTAGAGTGAACAATTTATGTGAAAATATGAGTCTCAATCTTTACTCTCCTCATCTCTTAATGTTTGTGTAATATGATGCGGTACTACAAATTTGGTTAGAGTGGAGAGACGGACCAACACCCTTTTATTTAGTGTCCGGAATGTCTCTTGATATGGTCAGTTCATCAATAGCCATAATCAATAAGCCAATGAATATTTCCTCGTGGTTAAAGGAACTAACATTCAAATACACAGTTCAGTTATGTATTTGTATCTCTCAGGTGGACAGAATGATCAAAATGTCCTTAATGTATGAGGGTCGGACTATTTTGATACTTAATATACCATGTAAGGGAAGGGCAGCATAGCATTAGCATTCACCATTGGGTTTGTCTTGAGTTAACTTATGTTGTAAGGGAGCAAATATCAGTATTACTTGCTTCTTCCAAGATTCTTTGCTGACTATGAGCCATTATGTTAGACATTTTGAAAATATTATTGTGCCTCACCATCGTGTCACTAAACTAGAGATTGAACCATCAAGGGTCATAAAATAAAGTAGTATTGCAACGGAAGGATACACGTTAACAAAAATCCATTTTATATGCTATAAGCTAAGACCTGAAGATCACAAATCAGATAATCAAGGTAAACCAATACTAGCTTTTTCTCCATGAGAATATAATGCTGTACTTGAGCATCTTGGAATGATTAGTCCTTCACTGACCTCAAACTTCCCACCATCAACTTCTTGGCTTGTGGGGGAACTAGTTGCGTGCACCTTAACTATTCCACCGGTACTTGCTACCTCCCATTACACGGGTATCCGGTAACTCTGTCCACCAAGGCTTAGGCAAATGTGAAGAAATCACTTAGCTTTTTTGGTCTATGTTGAATTTGAACCCCTGTCTCCAAGGTTTCACTCACCTCATTGACCCCTAAGCCACACCCTTAGGTGCCATATAACTTTTATAACATAAATATCTTTGTCTTATTTTATGACGGTTTTGTTTGTCATGAAAATAATAAGTCAATTTGACATACATGTTTTATTAGTATCACAGAAGAAAACATTAAATTAGACGTTAAGAAGTTATTTTGATAGTAAAAAGCACTTCCTTGAATATCCTAAATTCTTAAATGAATTTGAATTTGAGTTTGAATTTTTGAAACACATAAAAGACATAATTGGCATGAGGGATTAAAAGCCTCTTCTTTTGCAATGCATTACAGGAAATCAGAATATGTCATCTACAAGCTCAAGGAAATGGGAAAGATCAGGGAGAAAGATGTAATGCAGATATGCAATCAGTTCAACAAGCTCGATGAAAACAATTCTGGGAAGATAACATTACCCAGTCTCCTGCAGAGTCATTTGTAGCAAATATTCTTTGGCTACCATGAAGCATCTGCTAATTTCCAAGAAAAAGGTTAGTTGTTGCAAACGTTTGATTTCAGACTTTTGCTTTTCAACTTTTCTTTTCTTGGAAGACGGCATGTTCAATATATGTATTGTACATAAATTTGGCCCCAATGAAAAGGATTTGAATACCCTAGAAAAGGATTCTGAAAGATGTGGATTTGTCGAGAAAACTTTGTCGAGGCTAGATGGTCTCCCAATTTCTGTTTCATAGGATATGAGACTCTCAAAGGTGAACCCTCAAGGGTTTATCTGTATATTGTTCATATGAAAGCAATTAGTTCAAAATGAAAAGGCCAAGGGAAAGATTGAACTAGACTAGCCTGTTTGGCCAAGCTTCTAAAATCAGCTTATTTTGAGAAGTGCTTTTCTCAAAAGTACTTTTAAAAAAAGTGTTTTTGGTGAGAAGCAGTTTGTGTTTGGCTAATTAATTTAAAAAGCACTTTTGTACAGTAATTAGTGTTTGGCCAAGCTTTTGAAAACTACTTCTAAGTGTATTTTTCTCAAAAGTGCTTCTCAGAAAAGTGCTTTTGGAGAGAAGCTACTTTTTTTTGCTTTTCAAAAACTGCTTTTGCTTCTCCTCAAAAGCACTTTTTTTCCTTCCAAAAGCTTGGCCAAACACCTCAAACTTTTGGCCAAAAAAAAAGCGCTTTTGGCCAAAAAAAGCACTTTTGACCCAAAAAAAAAAAGCTTGGCCAAACAGGCTATAAGACTTTTATTGCTTTAGCTATTGCTTTTAGGTGATCCTTTTATGTTTTTTTGTACACTCTAGTAACATGAGAGGCAAGTAGAGGTTTCCTTTATCGAAAGAAGCTATATGTCAAAAGATGAGACAGTGACTGCTCAAGAATGCACCAATAGAACCATGGCCCAACTTCTCGTGACAGGTGAAAAGGGGGGGAGAAAAGGAACGGGAAGGGCATAAGTATAACTTCTAGCATGCTGCACATAAGTGCACTTTCATGATACACTTATTACCTGTTTTTAGGTGATCCTTTTATGTTTTTTTGTACACTCTAGTAACATGAGAGGCAAGTAGAGGTTTCCTTTATCGAAAGAAGCTATATGTCAAAAGATGAGACAGTGACTGCTCAAGAATGCACCAATAGAACCATGGCCCAACTTCTCGTGACAGGTGAAAAGGGGGGGAGAAAAGGAACGGGAAGGGCATAAGTATAACTTCTAGCATGCTGCACATAAGTGCAGTTTCATGATACACTTATTACCTTCTCAAAGTTATGAGCTACGACAAAAGCAGCTCTTGTCCAAATTTTGGGTAGTAGTTGAATTCCCTGATCTAAAGTTTCAACAGATGGATAGTTTCAATACAAATCCACTGAGTTGTCATGTCCTCTTGTCAAATGAATGTCAGTTGACTGACAACTTGAATGTTGTGGCAAATATTGCACGAATATGCCCTCTTTTTCCTGCTTGGTCTGATCTCTCTCCTCTTTTAAAAAAGAAAAACAATTTTATAAGCGTGTCAGACATAACATAGCTGATTTTCAAGAACATCTCGTCTCTTTTGCTGCTGGACTGTGGTTTACCTTTTATTCTGAGTATTAGTGGTTTGCCTTTTATGCTATATTTCTATTTTCCGCTTTTGCGTGGGTCCTAAAAGTCATGTTTAAAGGGGTTGACTTTTTATGCACCCACAGAGGATTTTTCTTTCGCTTGATATCTCATGCTTCTATGTTTTCCCAAAATCATATGTTGAGAAATAGTTATTTTCCAATAGTTAACTTTGAAAAGATAAAATAAGTTCATAGACACCCCAAAGTGCTCACTCAAAAGGGCTAGTCTGCAAGAGTTGAAAGGAATATAAGATTTCTGCATCCCTTGTATGTTAGCCATCATTCAAAAGTTTCTATATTTAGGTTTATACATATTTCCTGGCTCTATTTACCGGTTCTTTTGAAGATTCAGAAAGTGACAATAGATAATAGCTTTTTGCATCCTTTTCTTCGAGATCAGAACCTTAACCTGTCCGGATCAAATGCATCACTTTTTCTGTTTGAATAATGAATCTTTTTGTGGTTTCAGCATGTATAATGATGAAATCTCCCCTTTCGGGACAATCAGGTACAGCAAATTGGATGACTTATTTCTGTTAGGTGTTATTTTTCTTATTATTATCCTCCCCTGTTCTTAAGTGTATATTTGTCTTGGCCCTTGTTTGGTTACATTCTTAGTCACCACGAGAAGAATAGTGAAGCTGTTCTTAAGTGTATATTCCTCAATGAACTTATCATTTGATATAGTCCTGCCTGCCACTAGTGGATAAGAAAAAGGAGAGCAAAGGAGTTCAAAAAAGAGAGAGAAGACTCTTTGCCATAAAATAAAATCACTAAACAAATGGCTTGTAATGTAAAATAGCATACAGAATCAAGTACTGGAAGATGTGGCAAGGAAAGCTAAAGTAGAATTCTATATATGTAGATTAGCCAAAACTTGGTCGTTCAAATTTCTCAATACTACAAAATATAAACCCCCAATGTCTGTACAATGAAAAAATCATGAGTTTGAAAGCAAGGAGCAACCTTATCAGAGCAGAAAGAAGGATGAAGTTGTATAGCAGGAAGGCAGTAGAGTAGAATAAGGAAAGTAAGTTGTGGTTTTGGCACTCACTATGGTTTATTCTATGAAAACAAAAGATGATATTGTAAATTTTAATGTGGTAAGTCACTGATATAATTATATCAAAGTGAATTTGAATAGTGATGTTGACGGAGACAATGAGAACCGTTAATGTAACTTTCTACGTGACAAAAGGTTACCTGGAACTTTTATATAGTGTGTATAATAATATGGTAGTTAGATTATTTTACATTTTTTCTTCTTTTATACTTATATGTATTTATAAATGTAGTTGACTGGGCTACCCTTTTTTATATGTATTGATAAGTGACTATATTCTGCAAAATTGACATGTCTAATGTGATACCATTGGAGTTGGTGACCAATAACAACTCCCATTTGGAATTTGTTTGAGGTTGATGATATGAATCTTCACTATGCATTTTGTTCACCTAGTGCCTAGGTGAGCATGTTTCTGTATTGCGGGACTCATTGTGAATGCACTGATCCACAACTTATTACATCCTCCTCTTTTATTCAGGCTTGGAACTCACAGAATTAGAGTTAGTGAAAACAATTACGTACTCAAATTATCTTGATCGATGTAGACGATAGACAATTTTTTACCATAAAAATTAATTACATATAAAATGTCCACTATCTATAATTGTGTTGGAGCGCATGAAATGAAATCTCCCAATTGCGTAGGCTTTTCATGGGGTGCAAGCTTCAAGTTCACATAGGCTTATGTTCTATTTCCTTGCCATTAGCAACGACGTCGTTAAACTGGTTGTAATTTCGTCGGGAACCAATACGAAATACATATGGTATGATACAATTGCAATTGAACTAATACAACTCAATCTCAATAAAATAATATCATTGTGACCGTTAAATCTTATAAATAATTGATAATATAATATAAAACATATACCTTAATTAATTATTTATTTATCAAGGTTTCTTTATTTTCTTGTTCCAGAATGCATTGCGGTTATACGAATAAATACTTAAATCGAATTAGAAAGTATCATTTTTTTTAAGTATTTGTTTAACCAAAACAAGTGACTAATGTAAATAGTCATGAAGTCCATTATTTCTCCAATCTGTTATCGCCAACCCAAAATCAATCGATTGAGGAAGAAGGAAAGAGAAAGAAGAGGCAATGAGAAGAAAATAGGATAAATAAAAAAAGAGCTTGAAAAGAATAGAACAATCTTATCTTAAAATTAAATTATCTTATAGCTTAGCATCACTACTCAATAAATATTACTTTATTCTTTCGCATGGAGCACTAATAGTTCCTCTATCCCTCTTTTTTCATCGTTGGGAGATTTTCACATGCGATTGATGCGAGGATTTTCCCTCTCCATCTCAAAACTCAAACACGTGTGTGATTCTTATTCATTTAAAACACACACTATTTTTTTTTTTTTTTTGAGATTTTTACATAGCTGATCACTTATTAAATATTATTGTCATTAATAGCATCATTCTTTGTTTATGAATTCTTTGTTTATTTCATAAACAATAGACTTTTTTGTTTACAACTTTAGCATAATTTAAAATATATATATACAGGTTTAAAAATAAATAGATTCCCCAAATTAAGGATTCAGTTTTATCATTATTAATATTCGAAACTTTCTCTCTCCTTTTTGTACTAAAACTTTCGCCTTTTCATTCTAAAGGCTTCCCTCTTTCTCTATCAAATTTTTTGTTTTGTTTTGAAGCCTTTTGCTTTCATCTATGGCTACTAACGGTGTAGGTGGCCATTACCCACTAATCAAGTTCAAGAATTGGGAAAACCTAATATGACTAAATTTATTGTCAAGATTAATATTGTACTAAAACATATTCTTGATGCTTATACGATTTATATTTGATGTATATTTTTAAAATTTTTACATATGTACTTAATGTATATGTGATGAATTTTTAACAGTGTTAATAAGACATATTTGAGATATAAATTAGGTATATATATGAAGATAGTAATTTGTATATTCAAGATATAAATTATGCATATATGATGACGGTGATTTATATAATACAATTAAATTTTCTTTTATGTATATGTGATGTATCTTTTAATAGTGTCAAGATGTATTTTTGATGTATAAATTATATATATATATATATATATATATATATATATATATATATATAATGATCCGTTTTTTTCACGGAGGAATGAGAAACTGCACAACAATTGCCTGATCAAAGTCTTACCCTTTCTTTCCCTTTCGACTGGCATTATCACGCCGCCATCGCCAAATTCAATAGCTGCTCCTAGCCTGGAATTCATATCTCCTTCGTCTGGTCGAGAAGGGAGGGGAACTGGACTCTGTCTCTTCTATTACATTTACATTACATTACGGAGAAGTCCATTCTCGTCATGATCGATCCACGTCCTAGCGTAGTGCCCGACCTATATATAATGATAGAACGAGAAAATAGGAACAAATATGTGTAGTAATTATATTTCTTTTTTTGGAGGCGGCGTTTGCAAGAAAGGAAAGGTATTGATTTGATAACTGATTGTGGGCGAGATACTTGGGGGCTGGCGTTTAACCTGACACCTTATAACTAGTTTGTGCTAATTTTATTACTAGTATTAGGGTACGCGCATCGCGCGTGTAAACATATAAATGAAAACAAAATTTTTAAAAATAATAAATAATATTTACAATTTGTAATTGAGTTATAAAATAAAATTAACAAAATAAAGTTCATAACTTTGGATCCATTTAATTATTTTTATCAAATAAATTATTATTATATAATATTTAGTTTTATTCTTTCACCTTTTAAGTTCTTGTCGTGGCAAATAAGTTTGACATAAGGATCCACAATATTTAGATTCTAAAATAAAACTTCTTGATCCACAATATATACATATATACATACATACATACATACATACATACATAGAAAGGTGTGATTACCTGAGGTGAGGTTGACCTTCTTTGTGCCTTAGAAGAGGTCTAGTTTAGGTCAGTGCTCTATTTTTCTATAAAATTTATATTTTTAGGCAATACCTATGAACTTAGCTCGGACTGAATCCACATCCGCCTCTGTAGCTCTTCGCCAGAGGACGTTCTCATATTCTTTTGTACATAATTCTTGATACAATTTCTTATTTTTTTATCTTCTTGTAAACCTTCAGAATAATTTTTTGGTTTTGAAAGTATTACAAATATTGGTGTTTCTTTGATTTTCCTCTTAGATTTATTCTTTCTTTCATTCTTTTTATGAAAACATGAACTTTTTGTCAGATAATTAAAAGAAGAATAATCAGAATTCATAAAAGTATACTTTATTAATAAAGGCAAAGTCACTGAAGTATATATAATTATGATTTTTTTTGTCAAGTATTTAGATGGTTCGTGTTTTTAAGAATGAATATTTTCATCTATTAAATAGTTACAAACTCCAGAATAATTAGTTCATCTATAACATGGGCTTCTCTATTTCGTTTCTTAGGAATTTTTATGCTATCTTCCAAGTATTATGCTTTTTAGGGCTATAGCTACTTTACCTCTTTTCTATTGTAAGGTAAAAAGTTTAAACTACTTTAAATAAGGAAAGATCTAATAACTAAAATTTTAGTTGATTGTAAAATCCTAATTAAACGATTATTCTAAATATAATTAAATAACTATTTCTAAATATTAGAGACTTAAATAAGTGATTATTCCTAAATAGTCGAAAAATAATAAAATGACTATTTTGTCTAGTGTGAAGTTTATTTTTAGAGAGATAAAAAAGACGAACGATATTTCGCGAAAGGCCTTCATGCTTTTAATATAGTATAGATTTTTAGACTGCTTGTTTTGTAAATCAAATTGTGTTGCTGGGCTTCTGTATTTATTTTAAAAAAATTAGCCACTCATGAAACTTTCCCTTTTTGTTTTTCTATCTTATTACAGAAGTATCTTTAAAGGGGATGTGCCATGGTGTATGTTATTTGCTGATGACATAGTTCTAATTGATGAGACGAGGGTCGGTGTTAACGAGAGATTGGAGGTTTGGAGACAGACCCTCGAGTCTAAGGGTTTCAAATTGAGCAGGTCTAAGACAGAGTACCTGGAGTGCAAGTTTAGCGCTGAGTCGAGGGAAGTAGGAAGGGACGTGAGGCTTGGATCACAGGTCATCCCCAAGAGAGATAGCTTCAAGTATCTTGGGTCGATGATCCAGGGGGATGGAGAGATCGACGAGGACGTCACTCACCGTATAGGGGCGGGCTGGATGAAATGGAGGCTTGCATCTGGAGTCTTGTGTGACAAGAAATTGCCACCGATACTCAAAGGTAAGTTTTATCGAGCTGTGGTTAGACCCGCCATGTTGTATGGGGCAGAGTGTTGGCCGGTTAAGAACTCCCATATCCAGAGGATGAAGGTGGAAGAGATGAGGATGCTGAGGTGGATGTGCGGGCACACTAGGATAGACAAGATTAGGAATGAAGATATTTGGAAGAAGGTGGGCGTGGCCCCTGTGGATGACAAGATGCGGGAAGCGAGGCTCAGATGGTTCGGGCACGTGCGGAGGAGAAGCCTTGATGCTCCGGCGAGGAGTAAGGTCTGCGTACACATTATCCTCCCCAAACCCCACTTTGTGGGATTTTACTGGGTAGTTATTTTTGTTGTTGTTGTACAGAAGTATCTTTAAAATTGATCTGAAATATTTGTCCCTTGGATTTTTTGCTCAAGCGCAACACACTTTGTGACATTATCAAACACTTAACCCAGAATCTTACAATAGTTTAGCTAAAAGAAGGCCAGTATTTCAATGAAATACAAAAACTATTAGTTCCTATAATTTGAAAAAATATATGTATAAACAAATTAGTCATATCAATTCTAATGGGAACTTATGTTGACACTAACTGATAGACCCTTAATGCTAAACCTAGATCTCAGTTGAGCTTCTAAAGAGTTGGGCCTATTCCTTATTGGGCTATCTTTCATTTTTTTACTTCAGGGACCCGGCCCTTGTCCGATTATTTTCAATTTTAGCCGCAATCACTTGTACATATAAATAGAGTTAGTTGACTCTATTCTAAATTATAAACAAGTATTAAGGGCAGGTCGACAGAAAAACCAAGAGAACAAATCCAAAAGAACAGGACATCAAAACAAAACAGAGAATGCCAAAGGGAGGGAGGGAGGCAAGAAGGGAAAAAGAATAAAGCAAATACGGTTTGAATCCGTATGCCCTTGTGTGGCACCGTAATTTATTTTTTCTTAT